GGGGCATGTGGGCCTTGCGGGGGGGGGTGGCCCCTGCGGGGGCCATTTGACCCCTGTTAGTGGGCCATAGCCCCTGTGTGAGGGCCGTAACCCCTGTTGGGGGGTTGTAGCCTTGTGTGGGGGCCGTAGCCCCTATTGGGGGGCCACAACCTCTGTTGGGGGGCCATAGCACTTGTGTGGGGGCTGTAAGCCCTTTATGAGGCCATAGCCTCTGTTGGGGGGGCCATAGCCCCTGTGTGGGGGCCATAGCCCCTGTGGGAGGGCAGCAAAATATATATTCATGTTTCATGAATTCATGAAACATGTATTTAGGCTTCACTTTATTATTATGATAGAGACACTGGTAGGATTCCACATTGCTTTAACACTGTAGATATATCAATAAAATAGTGCCCAACTGATCACTTTCTCTGTCTCACTCTCTCTCTTTCTTTATAGTGGTCTTTTGTTTTAATTATGGAGGAACATGAATTTGGGGGTATTTTACAGAATGACTTTGGGATTTTTTTATCGGGGATTTTTCAGTTTTCCAATACAGAACATCAGAATTCCTGCTAGGGAGGCCAGTGGCAGGACCCTGCCTGCTCAGAGCTGGCACCTTGGACTCAGCTGGCTGTGGCTGACCTCCTGGCCAAATGAGGCCAGGAGAACGTACTTTGACAGTTCAAAGCAGGCCACCACACCTGGAACATCTTCCGGGCGATATCTGCCCAGATGCCCAGGCAGGGGGCACACATGGCAGTAGCGCCGCACTGAGACCAACTCTGCAGCCACAGCCCACTGACAGCTGACCCAGAGGGGCAGATGCCTCTACTGGCTGTGAAGTCCCCATCTGAGTCTGGCAGGTGCACAGCAGGTCACAGCCAGGCAGCAGCCCCCACTGCCAGACTGCTGCAGTGGGTAGAGGGTGGTGTCCCCAGGTACCAATTGGCTGGGCCCTAGAAGCTCCTAAGAGTGAGTAGCCCTGAGCTACTTGCCAGGGCAGAATTTTGTACTGATGGGGCCAGGACAGGGCAGCTTTTCATACTGCTGGGGACAGCACAGGTGCTGGCCCCAGGCTCTAGCTCCCCCTGGCTGCAGATCCAGGAGGAGCCAGGCAGGGCATTTTGCCCCAAGTGGCACAATTTGCTCCTCAATAAAGTGCATGTCCAAGCACGTGCGCTGAGGCAAAAAGTCCTGGCTCAAATTTGTACCACTTTTACTTGAGCTGCTGCAAGCGCACATGCTTGCATGTGTGGATGCGCCCAATGAGTTTAAACCACACTGTCTTGTTGCCTCAGGGACCAGTGAATTTCAGAAGAAAGTAGGTTTGGTTTGGATAAGCATTTAGAAATTCAAGGGTTTCACTAAAGGAATAAACCAGCAGTATAAACCAGGAGCCAGAGTGTATCTGCTTAGATGGGAAAGCCAGGCCTATAGTCCTCTTCTCTTATTACACATCTCTTTGTTGAGATGATATTTACCAGTTCCCTTAAAATAATGATTTGAGAATGTACAGAAGAACACGAAAACCTGTACAGGGCAGTGAAAGGAGAATGGATTAAAGGGCACTGGAAAACTGCCTTCAGCTATCTAGAGATGTTTACTCAGAGCTGGCCCTAAAAGGAGGAAGAGCCCCTTGAAACTGTCAGAGAGAGATTGAGAGAAGGAGGCAGGGCAGTGGCCACACAGAATATCAAAGAAGGTAATTATTATGTTTCTCCTTTGCACCATGCTATGCTAACCCAGCTCCTGGTGTGAGGAAAGTCAACCCAATCTGAATGGAAGTTTGAAGTAGATCACACTTGCACCAATTTTTACATGGATGTAATTCCATTGAGTTTCAAAGAGTTGCCTTGGCCTATCCCAGAGTGAGAGCAGGAGCTGCCTCTCATAGCTCATACCAAGAGTGATGGGAAAGATTTGGATTGTTTGCCTGACAAGAAATTATTTAAAGGCACCATGATGACACTACATGGAATGATGAATGGCTCAGAGAAGGCAGGTAGGTGTCTGTCTCCGTTTTCTCCAAGAACAAGAGGACATTTGATGATAATAAAAGGTAGAGAATTAAAACCTGATGATTTTTTTTCCTCTCAGTGAATAAATAGTCTGTGGAACTCACTGCTGCACAGGTCAAGAATTTAGTAAGCTTCAAAAAGATTTTGGATATTCATAGAGATAACAAGAATCTTAAGAAGAACCATAATAGTTAATTGCAATCAAAGGATACTAGGAGGAATAAACATGTTGGCCATGTACAGACATTACACTTTACCGGTATAAGTGATAGAAAATCAATCTATGCTCGTAACAACACAGACACACAGACTGGCTTAAAAATGACAGAACTCAGTCTAAGATTTGCCCCCCTCCACCCTCCCGCCCCACAAAGTGTGAATGTGTGTTCTATTTGCTACCAATCACAACTACACTACTTATAGAAAACTTTATAAGTCATATCAATTCCATCTCGGGCTTTCCGAATGTTTGTACCTAGCCTTTATGTGCCAAGGCATCAGCCAATCACTGTTAGAGGCCCAGATGACACCTATTCAGGACATGAGAAGCTGACTGTGCAGTTGTTACTCTTGTATAAAGTACTAAATGACTACGCAGTTACCCAAGTTACTGTGCAGTGGGTGCATCTGCACAAGATGCTATGGAGCAGTAGCAACAAGTTACTGCACAGAGCCCCCAACATGGCGTGGGGCAGTGAGGGACAGTGGGGATCACCCCCCTGCCTGGCAGCAGCTGGTGACTAGGGGCTTTTTTTAAAGAGCCAGGAGCTGGGGCCAAGCAGGGCAGCCCCCGCAGGGGGGGAGGGGGAGGGTACTAAGGGAAGCTGGGGGAGCAGGCAGGGGATGGGGCCTGGCAGGGGTCCCCTTATGGTGCCCTCTCCCCTCCTCCAGCCCCCCTTTCCCCTCCCCTACTTACCAGCATGGAGTCCAGGTCCAGCTACCTGCAGCAGCAAGCAGGGACTGCCTGAATCGCCGAAGCTCTCCGAATCTTTTCCAAATCTATTCGGAGAGCTTCGAATTGATTTAGATATTTTAATTGGTCTCCTGATTCAATTTGGATTCGGAGATTCAGCCACCAAATTGGGCCGAATCTCCTCCGAATCAAATCAGCACCCGAAGCTTCTCGAAGCACTACTGTGCAGTAGCTCATTGCTTATGCATAAGCTCATAAGCTTATGCATAAGCAAGTACTAAATGACTAAATGACTGTGCAGTAACAACAATGTATAGACATGGCCAGTAGTGCTGATTAATAGTTTTTTCATATCACTGACTGTACAGTATCCTGAGATTACTGTGCACTAGCGTCACGTCACGTTTTCTGCCATGTGACAATACTGCACAATAGTCTCATGCTACTGTGCAGTCAGAGTCTCGTTTAGACATGGCCAGGGTGGGTTTTCCTACATCTACCTGCCACAAGTTCTTAAACCTTCCTCTCAAGCAGCTGCTGTCAGATGCTGTTGAAAACAGGACATCGAATTAAACAGATCTAGTGTTTCCTGCCTTTCTGTCCTTGAGAACTGGCTTGATCTGACAGGTGATGGATTATAATCACATTGGTCAGACAATGCTTTAGCAACAATAAAGAATTAGTTTATTTAACTACATACAGTATTAGCTAATCATTGTCTCAGGAATGACCACTGGACAGCCAGAGAAGATGAATAGCAATAATGATAGCAATAAACTAATAATGATAATTTATCAGAGTTTCCCCTGTTTTGTCTCTACAGTGGTTATGACTTTGACTATGAATACTACAGAGATGACTTCTATGACAGGTAAGCAGAGGAGATAATGGTTAACAGAGCTTTATTCTGTGCATGCTGCTTCACACAAATTACAACCCCACAAGAGACACTATGAAAACAAGGCACTGCGGGAGAAGTGGGGTGTATAGCTGAGATCTAGGAAGACATGGAGAGTTATGGGGGAGGCCTTTGCATTAGTGAGGGAGGAGACTGAGATGAGCTAGAGGCAGCTATGATAGATAAGCAAAGAAGCAGGGAATGGGTGAAACAAGGAGCTCTCTCCATATGAATGTCACACAAGAGGGACACTGGCATGGAAAGACTGAAGAAAATGAGTACTACCTCTGTAACAGCCTCTCTAGATGTTTAGGTAAAGTCATGATAGGATCTCCCTTATGCCATGCCACATATGCATGGCAGGAGGCATAATTGTGGGATCCAGCATTAGATCTAATCATGCTGATCCCAGACTCCCCCTGAACCAACTAGCAAGCTCCCATGGCTGCAAGCCCCATGAACTGCAGGATTCCTGTCAGCTGATGGGGCTCCCAGCCATGGGGGCATAGCTATCATTCAATGTATTCCTTGCTGTATGTTTAAATGAAAGCTGGATAGAAAACAGCTATAAAGCTGTTACACATTTTTAAGCTCTAACTTTATTGTTGAATGGACTTCTGTATGGTGTGATATGTGTAGCCAATCTAAATTAATTGTGCGATTAACCAGTTAATTGCATACCTGTAATTAGTAGAGGGAGCCTTAGGGAACAACAAGCAGACCAACAAAGTATTTATTTGCCAAAAATGTAACTCTGGGTAACTAAAACTATTCACAAATTATTCATGAATAGTTTTGGGCAGCAGTGAAACATAATACGTTGGAAATATTGAAGTAAACTACATTGATATTCTCTAAATATTTCAATTAGGGGCACTTGTAATAAAAGTGAAGTTTATGGAAGCCTGGATTCAAAGAACAGGAGGGGAAGGATCCCCTGTTTCACAACAGCCCCACACCTTGGATACTCACCTAAATTTAGTTTTGCCTTCTGCCTGGGGGGCTTTGAACCCATATCACTCTCCTCTCAAATTGTCAAATCATCATGCTATTGGGTATTCTGGGAAGGATAGGTCTCACTCCTGATGGTGATTCTGATTAAATAAAATGTTTAAATATTCTTGAACCCAGATGCCCCACCTCCTGTGTTAGCATCCTAACCCACAAGCTACAAAGTCGCTTTAGCCCAAAGAATTTTTAAACACCTTATACAAGGTGCAACAACTTTACAAAGAAAAACTAGGGGCAGTACCCTAGAATATACTGTAGCATGATTGATAGGATATCAGATATCCTGGTGGAAGTTCAAATCCCCTTAGGAAGGAGAAGGAATTAAATTTAGGTCTTGAAATCTGGATGAGTCACTGAGCTGCTGAACAGAACAGGAAGCTTTTCCTTCTCTGAGTTTCCTTCATCATTCTAACCCTTTGCTTTCTTTGATTTTATTCAAAGTATCAGGCATTGAATTCAGGACCTGAAACAAAATGTTTCAATTCTTTCATTCTGGCAAGAAAAAAACAGCAGAAAAATTGGTTTTGTATCATCCAAGAAATTTTTGTTTTGTTTTTCAATTTGGCTGTTGAACTGGAAGACTGATTATTCCCAGAGTCCTACCAAATGCCTTTAACTTCCATTGACTTCATTTCCTCAGCAAATTATGGGTCCAGACCTCTGTGACTTCCAGAGCACAGCTGCTCAGCATATGACTCTGAGGGCGCCTTTTTTTATAACTGACGGTTCTGTGAACTCATGGTGACATTCTCCTGCACAGAGAGCCAAGGCAAGGCCTAGGCACTGACTATGTTTTATACAAGCCCTTAGAAGCTTAGAATCCTTGTGTGTGTGACAGGGCTTTCTACACCATCTCAAGCTGTCTCCCTTAAAGTGACACAGTTTATACCGTCACTCTGTTACAGATGACAGGTCAAAAATCTCCAAATTTCTCCATGCTCTATTTAAAATTAAATATGGTAGGGGGCCCCACATAACAATTCAACCCTGTTGATCTCTTAGTACTAAATTACAGCAGAGGGTACTAAACTACAGCTCTTACAATGTGATATGTGCAGATCAGTGACAGTTATTTAGTTTTATTAATTGACATATTTTAGTTAAGTGCAATTTCAGTACTTTCATTACTGTCATAATGAAAGTACTGTTTTTCAGGCATGCAACTGTGCTCCTGGGTGCTTGGCATAGTTCAAACACCCCAGTCTTCAACACACCAACACACTCTAGTTGTCAGTAGAGTGAATTTGGAGATGACTAACACAAAAAGATTTATTTTAAATATTTATTTAATTTAATTAATGAATTTAAAAAAGGAGGTCAGCAGAAGATTGATCTATGTCAGGCTCTGCAGCTACACCTGGTGTGCTAAAACATTCATTACCCAAAAAACCTGTGAATGACACTGCAAATTACCTGAAAGTATCAGTGAATTGTAGCTACACCTGGTGGGCAAGGGGGCTCAGGACATGTCATTTGGTGAGTTGATATGTATGTGACATGTACAGGTGACAGATTTTTTGTCCACAATGAGACAAATTGCCACAATCAGACTAAAATACATCAGAGGTGGTCTAAGTTGCCATGCTCCGGGACAGTTTGCCACAACAAAACTTCATGCATGTGTACATAGTGAAGCCATTATGCTAGCCAAATGGCAATTTTTTGGTCATGTTTACATGGCAAATTGTCACATGTACAAGCACCCTTAAGTAGCTCTTTAAAAGCAGCAGATCTGGGATAGGAGCTTTTTTCTCAATCTGTTTGTCCCCCTCTCACTGATTCCCCCAAAGTGTGTGTAATATTCACTCATGGGGCTTCAGTTGGAAGTAACTACCACCCCATCTTTCTCCTACCTCCCAGCAGAAGGTGGGAATTTCACCCTCACTTGTTAAGCTAAAAAGTTACCACCCCCAGAGAGGATAATACTGAGTTTGGGCATTAGTGGTCTCTGGACATATCTATATATCACCCTACATTGCCGTCATACAACGCACAACAGTGACGTAGTGATCATGTGAGTCTACATGTGACTGGCAGCTACCTCACTGTAGTGGCGTGCTCCCCCATTTTAGCACACTGCTACAGCAAAGTAGCAGCTAAAACTAACCATGTGCTATGAGCGTGGCACCTTACGGGCTGTTACTGTAGACATGCCCTCTTTTGACCAAAGCTGCAGACAGTAGCTCAGACTCCAGCTCATTTTCCTGGAGTTGAGGTTATTTTGCAGGGGACCAAGGGAAAAAAATTGTTTTGCCAGCAAAGACAAGCAGGAAGACCTCACAGACATATACCTGTTGAGTACACTGCTTCTACAGAGCAGGTTTCTTAGCTGCCTGTGCTGTAAAGTCTGGTCTCACTCCCCTTGCTCTGCCACCTGCCTTCTATTCCACCCTTGCTTTCTCTTCAAACTCCCTCTCACCTTGTATTTCCCCAAGAGCCCTGGGGGACACTTGTCATTCTTGGCTTGCTCATCTTTGCTGAAGCTAATGGCCATTAGTGTTGAAAAGGTTCCATTTGGCTGAAGGGCAATGGTTTGGAGGCAGACAGAAGGGTGAAGGGGTCCATGGCTGGATGCAGCCTTGATAAATGTCATGCTACATCCCTCTGCTTACATCAGATCTTATAATGGCAGCAGACAGGCCAGTCCACAGAACATCTCACAGGACACATGTCCTTTCTGTGCTGCCAGCTCCAGTAAATCAGCTGTATGACTTGGAGTATAAATAGGGCAGGTGGGAAAATGGAACAGCGAGAGGACATGCAAGAGGAGGTGTTGGAGGGGATGGGAAAACCAAACCTCTTCTTCTAGGAACATATTCCAAGGTCCTCAGTCTCTTCTGACAGCAAGCTCTTAGGGGGGATGTTTAAAAAGCATGCTCAATAAGGGATCATTGTGGATCATTAAGAATGACAGACTGTTGCATAATGTTGCCCTGTACAAGGACTGCCTACTAGAATAGCTGAAACTTTTACACTCAAACTTCATTTCAGAGGCCTCTTCCCTCTCTTCTACTGCAAATGGCATCATGTGGCAGCAGCAGCTGTTTGTATGTAGCAGCAGCAACCTCTAGTGGCATAACCTGTAAATCATTCCCCTTCATGGCTATTCCTAATGTGTTTGTTGCCTAAATTTTCTTTCATACTGAAAGTGCATCCTTCACTGTACTGTTTGCAGTCTGTAACCTGTTTTGACATACAGGCTTTTCGAGTATCGAGGCCGGGTCTCTCCTGTCCCCAGGGTGGTTCCTGTGAAGCGTCCACGAGTGACCATTCCTTTAGTGCGACGTGTAAAAGCAACACTGCCTGTCAAACTTTTTGCCAGGTCGGCCGTCATTGCAAACAGCTCTGCCAAATTAAAATGTGAGTATCTGTATGCACAGGAATGCCACATGCAATGTGTAGCTTGCAAAAGCACCATCACTTTCCTGTTATGCCCCAGTCACTATGAGGATGAGAGAGATAGACCATCCACCAAGAATTTCAAAGTGCTTGCTGAGCATTGACTGATTAGGTCTCAGAGCCCCATCAGGTGGGAGATGAAGGTCTTTATTGCCATGTTAGAGAAGGGGAAAACCAAGGGGCAAAAAAAGGGAAGTAATTGCCCAAGACCATTGAAAAAGTCACTGTTAGAACTAGGAATAGGACTGAGGTTTCCTACTCCCATATTCTATCCATGAGATCGTGCTTCCCCCTTAAATACACTATACCTGAAGTTGACATATAATTTAAGGTAATATATCTAAAGAGTATAGAGCAGAGATATTCCTCTGCTGGGCTACCAAGGACTATATCAGCAACCTTTAAGGTGCTCAGGGGTTCTGAATACTTAATGGAAAGCATTTTTAATGGTTAAAACCAACAACAAATAAACCTATGCCAAAGATTTGCTTGTATTTAAACTTCCCTGGCCAGAGTAACAGGGTGGGTCTTTAGTTGGTTCACCACTAGTGTGAACTTGCCACTGCTTGCTTATATAAATACCTGCAGTAATAAGAAGTGATTACCAGGGGCTGAGAGAGAACAGCACTAGAATACGAGAGAGAGGAGTTCTGTTCCTTATTCTACCCTTAGCCTGCTGAGCTTATATAAGTCATCACCTACTATGGGTGTCAGCTGCCCCATCTGTCAAATGACGATAAAGCCACTAGCTAAACCTGTGTCATCTGAACTCTAGATGAAATAGAGTGGGTTGATAGTGGAGCCATTCTAATTCAACCTTGGCTGCTCCTATCATTCATGCTCAGAAGGTTTGGTCTCTCCTCACTTCCCAGTCCAGCTTCCTGAATGAAACCTCATTCTTCTAGGACTTTGTTACCTTTATACACTATACATGGCAACATTTACTCATAAGTCCTTTTACAGTCTTAAAGTTAAGCTAATCTTCCAGACACACCATGTGGGGGTGCATTGACCTGACATTATTTTAAATCATATAATTTATTTTTATTTGCCATTTTACAAAATGCAGTAATTGGCAACAGTCAAATTATGGGCAAGGTAGCTGTTCCCTTTTCCCACTGATGTCACCAGTGCCTGGTTTTCTCTCTCAGTTCTCTGTGCAGAGTCTGTGACTGGTTCCAGTCTGATGAGCAGCCTATCCTATCCAATTTTAGTTATAGCCCTGGTAATTTCCAGGGCTCTAGACCTGCAGGCCTAAGATTTGACTTTTAGAAGGTTCCTGAAAACTTGGGTATGGGCAACACCAGCTACATTCCCCTCTCCAGTTGGCCCAAGCAGTCAAAGCAGCCCAAGAATATTTAGGAACGGGAGTTAATTTGTTCCTAGAGGCATGACAGTGCTGCTGCTCCTCAGCTGCTGGGAATGGGGAAGTAGTTGAGCCTTCTGTCAGGGTTTCTCAGCATGTCAGCTTCAGGCCAACTCCAGTTATTTCTAACCATTAGGCCAGTGCGAGTCGGCAGTGATCTGATCCAGCTTCAGATCTGGCCACTTCAGATGGCCACAATCTGATCTGGAGCTCCAGAAAGGGTTTCCGACTCCATCCGGCTGAAGCAGTTCTGAAGCTTCAGAGCCGCCTCGGCAATCTGGCCATAGGGTATAATGGGGAATCAATGAAATATCTATAACTTTGTTGTTTTTTGTCTAATTTGGATTAAACTTACAGAAATGGTAGCCTCTGCTGAGAGCATGAAACCTGCCAAGTTTCAAGAAGATCGATGCAGGGGTTTTGTGGGAACTGTACCCCAAATTCTTGACAGCCAAACTCCTGTCACGCCTGTGTTACAACACGGGGGTTAAAACTGCAGGGGTGGTAGCTCTTAGTGAGGCCACAAAGCCTGCCAAGTTTCAAGGAGACTGGTGCAGGGGTTTGGGGGGAACTGCCCCTCAAACTGCGGACAAGCAAAACTCATGCCATGGGTGACACTGCGTGTTAAGGCGCAGTGGGGTGACAGCTGCAGGGGTGGTGGCCCCTGCTGAGGCCATGATGCCTGCCAGCTGTGGAGGAGACCAGGGCAGGGGGGCTCTGGGGCCCTGCACCCCTAGCTGCTGACACGCAAAACTGGTGCCAAGACTGTGTCTGTCTTGGTGCAGTTGATTGTCTGTATTGAGTCTTTCCTCTCCTTAGCCTGGTTTTGTAGGTGCTAATTGATGCTCGTTAAGTCGTTATGTAGTAGCTAGGTCCTATGTATTGAGCTGGTCCCTGCGTCCCTGGTCCCTGAGTGAATCATGAGTGATTGATTGGTAACTGGTAACAGGCATGTTAGCAGCCAGGACTGCAGCAGTGTCTCCCCTCCCCAAAGACAGACACAGTCAGTCCCACAAGCACCCATGGCATGAGTTTTGCTTGTCCGCACCTTGAGGGGCAGTTCCCCCCAAACCCCTGCACCGATCTCCTTGAAACTTGGCAGGCTTTGTGGCCTCAGTAAGAGCTACCACCCCTGCAGTTTTGATCCCTCTGTGTTGTAACGTAGACATGACAGGAGTTTTGCTTTCAATAATTTGGGGTACAGTTGCCCCCAAACCCCTGCACTGATCTTCTTGAAACTTGGCAGGCTGTGTGGCCTCAGTAAGAGCCACCAACCCTGCAGTTTTCACCCTGCTATGTTGTAATACCTAGACGTGACATGAGTTTTGCTTTCACAAATTTGGGGTGCAGTTCCCCCCACACCCCTCTACTGATCTTCTTTAAGATTGGTAGACTTCATTATCTCTGCAGAGTCTATCACTCCTGAAAATTTCATCCAAATCGGACAAAAAACAAAAACGTTATAGATATTTTATTGTTTCCCCATGGCCGGATCTCCAAGGTGGCTCCAAACCTCTTCGGGAAGCCGAACGAGGCAGCGCTTCGCCTCGGATGTGCTGCTTCGGACCCCAAAGCGTCCAAAGCTTCTCCGGATCTGAAGCTCTGCCCAAAGCCTCGCACAGCCCTACTAACCATCTCCCTGAGCATTCCCCTATCTGTACTGCGTGGACAATGGGATTGGTCAGTAAGCAGCAGCAGAAATTGAATCATGTCAGGGAGGAAGGCCAGATGATGGAGGGTTCTCCCGGGGGTGTGAAGGGGAAATGGGCTCGTCTCAATAATCCAGCCCAGTTGTAGCCCAGAAACCTCATGGGGCTTGCAGTCTGTAACCCTCTCAGTAGGCAAGGAAACTGTTGAGCTATCTCCCAGGAAATCCTATATGAGCAGTGCTTGACTCTTCAATCCTGTCTCTTCAGAACTGACTCCATATTAAAAATCCAGATTATCCACATTTCCTCATTCCCTATCCCGCATTTCTACAGCACTTCCCCAATCAAAGGTTTTATGGTGAGCACAATTACTCCTAGATTATTGAATATAATCAGTCCCTAATATGTAAGATGTTTGTTTGGACTAAGGCTTATCCCTCCCTCCCTCTCTCTCTGTCTCTCTCTGATGCACACAAATCCAAGTGAAATGCAGTGAACTGCAGACAATCAAAACTGAGCTGACACAGATCAAATCCAACATTGATGCTCTCCTGGGCAGATTGGAGCAGATTGCTGAAGAACAGAAAGCATCCACAGGTCAGTGGGCTACATACAAATGCCTTGCTGATGGCCCTGAGAGAGGGCAAGGAGTTCAGGTACAGAAAAGTCAATCTCAAAGACAGTCACACAGACCTTGTAGGGCTCACTTTAAGCATCTGGGGACTGTATTCTAGAACTGGCTGTTACTTTAAGGTATCAGACAAAAGTCCCATTGAGCAACATGGGGGAGCAACCTTCCATGCTGCTTTTACCATGCATCTATGTAGCACTTAGTTCTTGCTGGGTACAAAAATAAAGATAAGCCCATTAGGGGTTTTGTGCTTCAAAATTGGACTGTGTGTGTTAAAACTCAATCCATATTCATTTCAAAGTTGTTCTATTTTAAGAGCCCCTAACAACTATGAAACAATGAAACAGGAAAAAAAATGAACCACCATGCTTTTCATACACACAAAACTGGACCATCTTCAAAAAATGACAAAACATGAAACATCTTGATTTTGAAATCTTCAGTGTTGCTGATCCTCAGGCTTTCAAAAGTATATGGCAAGTCCATGAAATAGTGAGATTGCCTTTAAAACTATGACATTTTTGTTAAATGCGCACACACACACTTTTTAATGTGCTTTCTGGCTTCAAGGCCAGATGTTTTCAAAGCATTTAAGAACCTGATGATACCAGCAGGCAACTGGGTGGATGCACCTAGCTCCCGATTGCATAACTAGTGATTCCTGGAATTAGACTTTGGAATAGAACGCCAAATACCAGAAGCCTCATGATAAAACTGTGAGCGTTGTCAACACTAAGTTACCCTTCCCAACATCCATACTGAATATGCCTAAGGTTTTTTGCATATAGTGCCTGCTG